GCCCCGAATAACCAAAGGTTAGGGTTTATAAAGGCAAAAACCCCAAAATCGGGGCGGGGGGGGATGCACGGTTGCTATACACAGTTGCTAAGATCAAAAAGAGAGTGCATAGTTACTGGGGTCAACATAACCTACGACCTAGGTGAAATTAACATCCATCATAATCTTGACAATACCAGTTACAATCGTACAATTATCACTTATGATCTTGACATTAATCCAAATTATATGTAAGGCATAGACAAATCACATCTTTATTATTAACCCAGGTGCAACCTTTCTATTTTCAAGCTTGAGCAATCATGCTAGGGGTTTTCTGTGCTCTGTCAAGGGTGATGTAGTGCACTGCTATTGTCTGACTATTTGAGATCATAGTTTCAGACCAGAGTCTCACAGTGGGGGGCTTACTTTCCCAGAATGCAGTCTCAAGTGCTCCAAAATGGGAGTCCCTACTGTCAAGGTACTACTTCAGAGGAGCAGGGCCAGGCCAACTTCAGGAGCTTGAAACTCCAATCTAACTTTTCTACCTGGGTTGCAGGGGCCCAACTGTTGCTTTCCCAGGTTCATTAACAGGGAGCCGGATAATAGTCAGGACTTGAACTGGCGCTTGTCCATGGGATGCCAATCGACCCCCAACCCTTCCACTTGTAATCCATTTCTCTGCTAATGTGCCTGGGAAAGCAACAGATGATGGTCCAAGTACTTGGGACTCTGTGGGAGACCAGGATAGAGTTCCTGGGTTCTGGCTTCAGCCTGGCCCAGACTTGGCTGTTGTGGACATTTAGGAAGTGAACCAACAGGTAGAAGATGGAAGATCTCTCTCTCTGTTGCTCTACCTTTCCAATAAAATAAATATATATATAAAAAAAATTACGCAAAAAACAAGGCAAGACAGAAGAATGGAAAAAGTATAGATTTAGGGGTTAGAGTGGCCTGTGTTCACATCCCAATCTTGCAACTTAGTACTACCATGGCAAATTAACCGAGGAAATTATAAACAACTTGTCAATACAATCTATTAGAGTAATCATGAAAATCAAATAGAGTACAATAGGCACAAGGAATGTTCAGAAAGGTTTCCTTTTCAACTCTCAATCTACTTTACATTAATGTTTACATGTCTGTATTCCCCACTAAACTATAAACTGGTTGAAAGCAACACTGTATAGTTGTTTCTTAACTCATGATGGGGTTATGTCTGTCTAAACCTATCAGGCTAAGCTGAAAATATCTTTAAGTCAAGAATGTATTCTGTAAAGGAAATAATTAAGAGTGAAGAGACAACATATAGAATGAGAGAAAATATCTGTCAACTATACATCTTATAAGAGATTAACATCCAGAATATGTAAAGGACTCAACTCAATTTAAAAAAAAAAACAATATGATAGGGGCCGGCACTGTGGCTTAGTGGATAAAGCCGCTGCCTGCAGTGCTGGCATCCCATATAGGCACTCGTTCGAGTCCCGGCTGATCCACTTCTGATTTGGCTCTCTGCTATGGCCTGGGAAAGCAGTGGAAGATGGCCCAAGTCCTTGAGCCCCTGCACCCATGTGGGAGACCTGGAAGAAACTTCTGGCTCCTGGCTTTGGACCATCGCAGCGCTGGCCATTGTGGCCAACTGGGGAGTGAACCAGTAGATGAAGGACCTCTCTCTCTCCCTCTCTCTCTTCGCTCTGTGTAACTCTTTCAAAAAAAAAAGAAATAAATCTTTTTAAAAAATATGATTAAGAATGGGGAATAAACCTAAATACACATTTCTCAAAAAACATATAAGTGGCCGGCGCCATGGCTCACTTGGCTAATCCTCCGCCTGTGGCGCTGGCACCCCAGGTTCTAGTCCCAGTTGGGGCACCGGGTACTAGTCCCGATTGCTCCTCTTCCAGTCCAGCTCTCTGCTGTGGCCTGGGAGGGCAGCGGAAGATGGCCCAAGTGCTTGGGTCCCTGCACCAGCATGGGAGACTGGGAGGAAGTACCTGGCTCCTGGCTTCGGATCGGCGCAGCACCGGCTGTAGCGGCCATTTGGGGGGTGAACCAACGGAAGGAAGGAAGACCTTTCTCTCTGTCTCTCTGTCTATAACTCTCTCTCTCTCTCACTGTCTAACTCTGCCTGGCAAAAAATTAAAACAAATAAACACTCAAAAAACATTTAAGTGGCCAGCAGGCATACCAAAAAAACGCTTAACATCATTAATCCTCAGGGAAATGCAAATCAAAACCACAACAATATCTCACTCTAGTTAGAATGGCCATTACCAGAAACACAAAAGGTAACAAGTGCTGGCCACAAAAGGGAACCATTACACACTGTTGGTGAGCACATAAACTAGTATAGCTATTATAGAAAATATTATGGAAGTTCCTTAAAAAAAATTAAAAAAAAAAAAAAAAACTGAGCAGAATTACCAGTCTAACTACCGAGTATATATTCAAAGGAGATGAAATCAGTGTGCCAAAGAGAGATCTGTGCTCCCATGCGTATTGCAGCACTATTCACAATAGCAAAGATAAGGATCAACTGAAGAGTCTAACATATGAATGGATAAAGAAAGTGTGGTATCGTGTGGTACAGATACACAACGCAACACTACACATGCTGCTGCCCAGTATCATGATGAGATATCATACCACATCATCTATCACTAGCCCAGGCAAAGATAAAATCCAAAGTAGTTTCCAGTGAATGCCTATCACTTCACATCATCATTAAAAAAAGTCTAAGTAAGGAGTCATCTGCCTATGGTCCCCGAACAACTGTCATAAGGGCACCAGAGAAAAAAATATATAAGCCACAACAAAACTGATCAACTCTTAACCTTAAGCAGGTATTAAATATTTACTGATAAAACAAAATATTTTGGGACAGTAATTCCAGGTTGTAATTAGTAACTTTATCAATAATCTTATTTGAAATTAATCCAGTTAGCTACACAGAAATAGAATTTTCACTGGTAAGCTTGGTTTGTTTCTTATGATTAATTATTCTTAAATTTTATAAAGAGGTAAAAAAAGAAAAATGGATAACTTTAAGTCACACTTTAGGAAAACACCTATTTTAAGATAAATGTGATCCTACAACCAGATTAAACTGATATACACATGGTTTCTTTTACATAAAATCCTAGAAAAGATAAGATTTATCTATGATTACAGTGACAGAAAGCAAATGAGCAGGGCCAGCGCTGTGGCATAGCGGGTAAAGCCGCTGCCTGCAGAGCCATCATCCCATATGGGCACCGGTTTGAGATTCGGCTGCTCCACTTCGATCCAGCTCTCTGCTGTGGCTTGGCAAGTCCTTGGGCCCCTGCACCCGCCTGGGAAGACCCAGAGGAAGCTCCTGGCATCAGATCAGCACAGCTCTGGCCATTGTGGCCAATTGAGGAGTAAACCATCCAATGGAAGACCTCTCTCTCTCTCTCCCTCTCTGTCTAACTCTGACTTTCAAATAAATATTTTTTTAAAAAAAGAAAGTATATGAACAATTATTTTTGTCTGGGGGAGGGCTTGGAAGAACTTTCGGGAGAGAAGGGTTCTACATCTTGATTAGACATACACATTTATCAAAAGTCATCAACCTATACACCCAAAATCTTCAAATTTTACTTTATGTAAATTACATTTCTATTTCTAAAAAGCCTTAGAAAGTCAATTTCTTCAAAAGAAGTAACGAAATATCAAGTATGTTCAATTATTACAGGCTGAGTAACCCTTATCCAAGATGCTTGGGACCAAAAGTTTTGGATTCAAATTTTTTCATATTTTGGAATACACAAAGAGGTATTTTAAGAATAGGACCCAAGATTAAACATAAAATTCATGTTTTATATAGACCTTGCATACACTCTAAAAGTATTTTATACAATATTTTTAATGTACCTGTGTTTCAACTGTGACCTGTCACAGGAGGTCAGATGTGGGATTCTCCACTTGTGAAGTCATATTCATGCTTTGAATTTTGGAGCATTTTGGATTAGGGATGCTGAACCTGTATATTAAGTAAAACCTTTCGTGAAAGAGAAACTATTTTTCTGCCAGAGCAAAAGAAGTATCAGATTAACTGGTAGAAGAGTCTTTCAAAAATATATATATTAAAAAAAATGTCTGAAGTATTATTGGGTTTGTCTCTGCTATTAACTGTGGTGGATTTTTTTTTTTTTTTTAGATTTATTTATTTATTTGAAAGTTAGAGTTACACAGAGAGAGGAGAGGCAGAGAGAGAGGTCTTCCATCCGCTGGTTCACTCCCCAGATGGCTGCAACAGCCGGCTCGCGCTGATTCGAAGCCAGAAACCAGGAGCTTCCTCCAGGTCTCCCACAGGGGTGCAGGGGCCACAGCACTTAGGCCTTCTTGTACTGCTTTCCCAGGCCATAGCAGAGAGCTGGACTGGAAGTGGAGCAGCCGGGACTCCAACTGGCGCCCACAAGGGATGCTGGCACTGCAGGCGGTGGCTTTACCTGTTAAGCCACAGTGCCAGTCCCCATGGGTGGATTTCATAGGAAAACATTGTTTTGGCTGCTAAAATAGAAAACTTTCATATTAGATGTTATTATTGTAGCATCATCAATGGTAACTTTATTCACTATCATAACCATAACTGTGCAACTACATTTAGTTAGAAGCTGAAGAAACAAGCGAAAAAGGCAGTCCCGTAAAGTACTGTTAAACCACCATCTTACAGCATGGTTTACAAATCTGAAACTGCTTTGCTAACAAAAATTCCCAAGAAACTGGTGACATATCTAATAGCTCATTATTTAAACCAATAATTTTCTTGCATCAATTTTAGTTCTGTGAAAAGACTACTGCTTCAAAGTAACTGAAGTTCACAGCTTTTCAAAAAAATGCCTCAGATTATAAAGAAAAACCAGGGGAGCTTCTTTCTTTAAACGTTCCTTTTGGTAATTCTCTCAATGACACTCCTAAAACACAAAGGCAAAGATATAAACGCACACACTCAATTTTTTTCCAACAATGCAGGAGTAAAACAGAAGTTCCCTTACCTCCTCCTCATCATCAGAATCATTCCCAAACACTGATGGTTTTTGCAAAACAGGGTGCAACTGCTGTGTTTTCTTTGGCAAAATAAGCCCATACCTGCATTTTTTGTTTGAAACAAAAATTACACCATTAAGTGTTATTAAAAACAAAACACCATACATTCACTAGAGAGCTACCGAAGTCAGCACCTGGCCTATGAACACTTAACAAGCTGTTTCTGATTTCCACTGATATCAAAATTCAGCATGCCGTAGGATTTTATAATTATTCCAAGTGATACTTGTGGATACAGGCCAAACTCATTTTTATCAAGGGAGAGAAGTGAAGAGTTCAGAAATGTTTCAGATGATTGTCAGTGGCCAGGGCCGCGGCTCAATAGGCTAATCCTCCGCCTTGCGGCGCCAGCACACCGGGTTCTAGTCCCGGTCGGGGCGCCGGATTCTGTCCCGGTTGCCCCTCTTCCAGGCCAGCTCTCTGCTGTGGCCCGGGAGTGCAGTGGAGGATGGCCCAAGTGCTTGGGCCCTGCACCCCATGGGAGACCAGGAGAAGCACCTGGCTCCTGTCATCGGATCAGTGCGGTGCGCCGGCCGCAGCGGCCATTGGAGGGTGAACCAACAGCAAAAGGAAGCGCTTTCTCTCTGTCTCTCTCTCTCACTGTCCACTCTGCCTGTCAAAAAAAAAAAAAAAAAAAAAAAAAAAAAAAAGATGATTGTCAGTAACGTTGTTCTAAAAACACGTTAGTGGAAAGCCCAGTTCACGTTCGCAAAACATAAAAATTTCTCTGTAGTCTGACGAGTCGCGAAAATTGTTTTTTTTCTACCGTGCACTTACACAACTTTTAAGAAGTCACTAAATTATGTAATCCACAAAAAACAAATAAACTAAGCGACGCCAGTAGGCACGGGGGTTGTTCCCAAGATCCGTCAGTAAGCTCACTGCTTTGTCTCGGAACACCTGACCCATCCCAGCGAGTCTCTGTCCCGGCTCTGGGGATGCAGGCATGGCGGGACGCCGCATCCCAAACAAGGGTCACACGCCAAAGGGAAAACTTCCAGGGCGCACGGTCTCTCCCTGCCCTGCGTCAAAGCAGAGCCCACGTGCCTACACGCCTACCCTTTCCTCGGACCTCCTGGCAAGCATTCCTACATCGAGAAGGGAGGGCGGCCGGCCAGCCCCTGCCCACACGAGCGGGGCCTCTAAGGCAGGCGGGAACTGTCTCTTCTCACTGCCCCTGAGCGCATCCGACCGAGGAGAAACTCAAGCGCGGGGTAGGAAGCAAGACTGAGGGGCCTCAGACCGAGCTTTTGGAAAATAGAAAAGTCTCGCTCTCTGCCCCTCAGCCTAACTTCCTTTATTTCCTCACAAGTTTCTCCCTCAAACTTCGGGCTTCCAGCCGGGGAACTGTAGGGGAGCGGGGGAACGGTCCTCGGGATGCCGCGGGCTTCCCCGTCTCTATCCTCGACGACACAGCCCCTCTCTTTCCAGCGCACTGTAACTCCGCGGCCACACACACGGCCGCCGCGGCGTCTCCCCAGCCTGACCCTAACTCCCGATCACTCACTGCCTGCCCGGAATCGCCATGTTGCTCCGCTGAACGCCGGACGTGGCCGCCGCCGCCGCCGCCGCCGCCGTGACGCTGACGCCGCGCCGTCACGTAAACTCTCGCGCGATTTTGAGCGGCCCGGAAGCCGCTGAGCGGCTTGTTCCCGCGGGTTGGCTCGATTCCAAGCTGCTGGGAACGGCTTGTTAACGGCTGGCTGTGTGAATCCGACCTGAGAAAGGAGTGACAGACTTCTAGGCCAGCGGGTAGCCAAGTGTGGTCCTGGGCCCCACGGTATCAGCGACCCCCGCGATATTGTTAGAGTCGCCGATTCTCGGGCCCCACCGCAGCCTGCTGAATCAGAACAATCTGAATTTTAATAACCATCTGGTAATTCTGATATTCAGATTGGAAAAGCGCTACACTAGGCTATTGATTTTAATTTTTCCCTTTCTCAGGTGTTCAGGACAAACTCCGGGTAATTATGTACAAAATGAACATCTAGGGCCGCCGTTGTGGCGTAGCGGGTAAAGCCGCCGGCTACTGCACCGGCATCCCATTTGGGCGCCGGTTCGAGACCTGGTTGCTCCACTTCCGTTCCGGCTCTCTGCTATATATCCTGGGAAAGCAGCAGAAGATGGCCCAAGTCCGTGGGCCCGTGCACCCACGTGGGAAACCCAGAAGAAGCTCCTGGCTCCTGGCTTCAGATCGGCGCAGCCCCAGCCGATGCGGTCATCTGGGGAGGGAACCAGCGGATGCAAGACCTTTCTCTCCCTTTCCTTCTCTCTGTGTAACTCAAGTAAATAAATACATTAAAAAAAAAAAAACTAAGAGAAAGAATGTAAGATATCCCATTACCTGTTTTTTGTTTTGTTTTGTTTTGTTTTGTTTTTGTTTTTTAAGAAAAGAAAAATCTAGGGGCTGGCACTGTGGCGTGGGAGTAAAGCCGCCGCCTGCAGTGCCGGCATCCCATATGGGTGCTGGTTGGAGTCCCTCCTGCTCCACTTCCGAACCCGCTCTCTGCTATGTCCTGGGATAGCAGTAGAAGATGGCCCAAGTCCTAGGGCCCCTGCACCTGCGTGGGAGACCTGGAAACTCCTGGCTCCTGGCTTCGGATAGGCGGAGCTCCCGACGTTGCGGATATCTGGGGAGTAAAACAGCGGATCGCAGATCTTTCTCTGCTTTTGCCTCTCTATAACTCTGCCTTTCAAATAAATCTTTTAAAAAAAGAAAATGAAAATCTATATGTCAATGGTAGCTAGTTCATACAGAACTGAGTTTGTTGTTTTTTAATTTGAAATAGATCGGCGTTCCGCTGTTCATTCAGCAAATGCCGGCAACAGCCAGGGCTGGGCCAGGCAGAAACCAGGAGCCTGGACTCGAGCCTGTGGGTGGCAGAGACCCAAGTACTAGAGCAGTTATCTGCTCCCTCCCAGGTTCGTACTAACAGGAATCTGGAATCCAGAAACATAACTGGGACTCCAACCCAGGCGCCCTGTTACAGGATAGGAGTTTACAATGCAGCAATTAAGCACGCCAACAAATGCTTGCCCCAGGGGAGAAATTATTAATAACATCATTAGGCCGGCACCGCGGCTCACTAGGCTAATCCTCCGCCTAGCGGCACCGGCACACCGGGTTCTAGTCCCGGTTGGGGCGCCGGATTCTGTCCCGGTTGCCCCTCTTCCAGGCCAGCTCTCTGCTGTGGCCAGGGAGTGCAGTGGAGGATGGCCCAGGTGCTTGGGCCCTGCACCCCATGGGAGACCAGGAAAAGCACCTGGCTCCTGGCTCCTGCCATCGGATCAGCGCGGTGCGCCGGCCGCGGCGGCCATTGGAGGGTGAACCAATGGCAAAGGAAGACCTTTCTCTCTGTCTCTCTCTCTCTCACTGTCCACTCTGCCTGTCAAAAAAAAAAAATAAAATAACATCATTAGTGGGGCTGGCGCCGTGGTTTACTTGGTTAATCCTCTGCCTGCGGCACTGGCATCCCATATGGGCACCGGGTTCTGGTCTCGGTTGCTCCTCTTCCAGTCCAGCTCTCTGCTGTGGCCCAGGAGGGCAGTGGAGGATGGCCCAAGTGCTTGGGCCCTGCACCTGCATGGGAGACCAGAAGGAAGCACCTGGCTCTTGGCTTCGGATTGGCGCAGTGCGCCGGCCATGACAGCCATTTAGGGGGTGAACCAACGAAGGAAGACCTTTCTCTCTCTGTCTCTGTCTCTCTCTCTCACTATCTTAACTCTATCTGTCAAATAAATAAATAAATAAATAAAAATCATTAGTGGTGCCACTGGGTTTAGAAATCAAGGTCGTTTTATTATTTTTTATTATTATTATTTGTTCTAGCCATGGGGAGAGACAACCAGAGATCTTCAATCTGGGGATTCACCCCCCCCCCCCAATTTCCTGCACTCGTTGGGTCTGGGCCAGGCTGAAGCCAGCGGCCAGAAACGCCATCTGGGTCTCCCTTGTTGGCAGGAACCCAAATACTTGGGCTATCATCTGCTGCCTTCCAAGTGCATTAGCAGGAAGCTGGATTGGAAGTGAAAGCAGGTTCACAAATGTGGGATGTGAGAGTCCCAGGCAGTGGCTTCATCTGCTACACTACAACATGCATACCAAGAGATTTTATTTTAATTTTTCAGTGGTTTATAATAGATGCAATATAGTTCATAGATAGAATTCTAAGAATGTAGTGATATTCCCTCCCTCCCTCCCTCCCTCCCTCATTGCCCCCCAAGAGATTTTTTAAATAATATATTTATCCACATACTTACAGTTTCCAATATCTCCACTATCTTTATGTAGATCCAGATTTCTATCTGGTATAATATCTCTATTTAAAAAAAAAAAAAAACCTGCCTTGTTGAGATATAATTCATATGACATGTAATTCACCCATTTAAAGCATACAATTCAGTGATGTATACTCAGAGCTGTAATACTATCATTGCAATCAATTTCAAAATACTTTAAATACTAAAAAAAGTACCCCCTAATCACTTCCATTTCCCCCCAAATCCTCCAGCCTTAGTCAGTCATTCAGGCCATCCTCCACTGCCCTCTGTTTCTGTCTCTGTGGACTGGAAGTTCTACCAGTTCTTCATATATTTTGAAGCCCCATTATTATGTAAGGTTGTCATGTCTTCTTATTAATTGACCCTTTTTTCATTATGAAATCATCTTTGTCAACATCATATTTTTCCTCTGAAATCTGTTTGTAGGATACTATCATAGCCATTCTCGTTTTCCTTTTCACAGTAACTCCAGGGAAAGCAAAAGGTATATTAAAAGGGAAAATAATTGTAACTTACTGCATTGTTAAGCTCTAAGTAAGAGACATAATCATGGTGATGTAAACGCACAATATTGTAACTTAAATTGCTACATAATAACATTGGGAAAAGTGGAAGGATGGGAAGTGTGTATTGCACATTGGGAAGTTAGTAGATATCGCCTAATTCAGGAAAATCAATTCATGTTCTTTAGCAACATGGAGTTAAATTTAAACCATGGCCAAAATAGGGGTTGGCAAACAACCACGTCATATCTTCGGCTTTGTGGGCCGTATCATCTCTGTGGCAACTACTTACTCTGCCCTTGTAGTGTGAAAGCAGCCACAGATGATATGGGCAAGGCTATTCCAATAAAATGTTAATTACCCTCACAAGCAGTTGCCTAGATTCGGCTGTTTACCAACTCCTGAGCCAAAAGACCTGAAAGTAGTTGACTCAGAAGCAAGGAAAGTATTGGTGGGGCTGGGAAACACTTTGTTCTCATCAGACCTTGTACCTGTATCCAGAGGATTCTTTAAAATATGAGTACATGTTACTTTGTTCAAAATAAAAAGAATCTGTAGAGTAAAATAAGTGCATCCCTCTGCCAGGACCATCTGCCTCTTGCTTGAGGTATCTGAATGGGGAACTGTTGACACAAAATTTCCCCAGGAGAGCTCAATAGCCTAGAAAATGAGTCTTTGAATTGGTGTATTAAATTCTGTGCTCTCTCCTCACCTTTGGGACACTGCATGGAGAGGGGCAGGCGGGTGGGTCAAGGCTTAAATGGAACTACTGCAAGTTTCCCACATGGGTGCAGGGGCCCAAAGACTTCGGCCATCTTCCACTGCTTTCTCAGTTGCAATAGCAAGGAGATTGGAAGTGGAGCAGCCAGGACTTGAACCGACACATACAGGATGCTGGCACTGCAGATGACGGCTTTACCTGCTGTACCACAGCTCCAGCCCCCATACACTAATGCTTTAATCAAGTATAAATAATATCCTACTCACTAAAATATGTAAGCTCATGATATTCGAGAATAGTTTAATTTTTTTTAATTTACCAAAGAACAAGCTCTCCCATCCACTGGTTCACTCCCTACATGCCTACAGCTGGCCTGCAGGGCCACAGCTGGAGCTGGGAAATGATCCCAGGTCTCTCCTGTGTAGCAGAGGCCCAATCACTTGAGCCATCACCACTGCCTCCCCGGGTCTGCATCAATAGGAAGCTCAAGTCAGAAGCCAGAAACCAGGTGTGGAACCCAAGTACTCTGATAATGGAACATGAGTTTCTTAATTGGCATCTTTTTTTGTTTGTTTGTTTATTTTTTAAGATTTATTTATGGAGTCAGTGTTGTGGTATAAAGAATTAAGCTGCAGCTTGCAGCACTGGCATCCCATATGGGAGCTGGTTAGAGTCCCAGCTGCTCCACTTCTGATCTAGCTCCCTGCTAATGCACCTGGGAAAGCAGCAGAAGATGGTCCAAGTGCTTGGGCTCCTGCACTCATGTGGGAGATATGGAAGAAGCTCCAGGCTCCTTGCTTAGGCCCAGCCCAGTTCAGCATTGGCAGCTGGGAAGTAAACAAGCAGATGGAAGATCTCTCTCCCTCTGTTTCCCTCTTTGTGCAACTGTACCTTTCAAATAAATACATAAATCTTTTCTTACTTGGAAGGTAGAATTACAAAGGGAGAGATGGAGATGGATCTTCCATCTACTGTTTCGAGGCTCACTCCCCAGATGGCGACAACCTGTAACTCCATCCGGGTCTCTCACATGGGTGGCAGGGATGGCACATGGGCCATCTTCTGCAGCTTTCCCAGGCACATTAGCAGGGAGCTGGATCAGAAGTGAGGCAGCTGGGTCCAGCACACACAATGGATGCTGGTGTCACAGGCAGCAGCTGAATCCCTACCACGATGCCGGCCCCCTTAATTGACATCTTAACCACTAAGTCGATGTCCACTCAAGGGGTGGTATTTTACTTGAGTGATAGATAAATAAATTAAACCTATCCAGCTTGTTGATGGCTTAATTATAAAGTAATTTCCAAAAGACTGATTGCATGATCATTAGCAACTTTGGAAAGTGTCAGTGAGGAACTGGGGTGCTGGGAAGGGCAATACAGCAGAATCAGGCCATGTGGTGCTAGGCCCGCCCTGATTCTGGGTAGCTATTCATGAACTGGACATCTCACTCACTTTTTTGTATTTTTAGAAAATGTTTTGAAATTTATTTTCATTTTATTGGAAAGACAGGGGAGGGGGAGGGGAGAGCAGGAGAGAGCAGGAGAGAGGAGAGGAGAGGAGAGGAGAGGAGAGGAGAGGAGAGAAGAGAAGAGAAGAGAAGAGAAGAGAAGAGAAGAGAAGAGAAGAGAAGAGAGGAGAGGCGATCTATCCATAGGTTCATTCCCCAAATACCTGCAATAATCAGGGCTGGACCAATCCCAGGCCGGGAGCACAGAACTCAACCCGGGTCTCCCATGTGCATGGCAAGAACCCAAGAATTTGAGCCATCAGCAAGTTGCATGAGAATTTTGCAGGAAGCAGAACTTGAGCCAGTACTGTGATATGGGATGTGGGCATCCCAAGCAGAGTCCTAACCAGAGTGCCAAATGCACACTCTGCTCCACTCTTGAAGCCTGTTTCCTTATATATAAAATGGAGATAGTATCAGGATTACCTACCTTGTAGATTAGTGGGAGGATTAACAATGTGAAAATCTTTTATTTCCCCCCCAGAAACCTTTTATTTAAGGAATACAAACTCATGCATGTCATACATACAACTTTAGGAATATAGTGATTTTTCCCACCATACCCACACTCCCACTTACATTCCCAGCCCTTCCTCCTCCCTCTCCTATTCCCAGTAAAAATATTTTAGGCAAGTTAAAGTACCATTTAGTTAATTTAATTTCCACATAATATTTAAAAACATAGCATTCTGCAAAGTCTTCCCTTGCTACTTAAAATGCCATTCGTACTCCCAGAGAGCTCTTTTATGAGCTTGTTCTGAAGCCATCAGGATACGTGGCTATCAGTTTAATATCTTCAAGAGCATTGTTTCTAGAAATGCTGTTGCAGATGCCCTAAAAATCCTCTTCCAAATATGAAACAGGCTTATAGGTTAAAGAAGATGAGGACTGGTAATAACACTGGCATCTTATCAGAAAAGGTTAAAAAGGGACCAATCTTGAATTGGAACACATCACATTTTGTCAAAGTAATACAGAAAATAAAGTTTAATTTCCCAAAATTTTATTAAAAATGGACTCTAGTCATCAGATATCTTCTTGCAAAGATGAAATCTCACAACAGAGAAGGAAAGTTTGCCACAATAATAAGCCTTAAACAAATGCACTTTCTTTTTGTCGTTCTTGAACTTGAGAGGTTTTTGTCATTAGAAAAGAAGTGCTTTCTTTTTGCCATGAGTCATGGGCAACCACTTTCCCACACAATTTTCTGTTCATTAAAATGAATTTTAAGTTGTTAAGCAAGGAGTTGCTTGGGGGGGAGGGGCAGGACACAGGAAGAGGTGGTATTCAGACAAGTCCTTGAAAAATTAGAAAAAGAATTCTTAGTTCATTTCTTAAAACCTTTATTATTTGGTACTCTTTTGATGTAAAAGTTGCAACTGAATTTTTTTCTAAATCCTCATTTGGACCCTAACTGGATTTTTTTTTTTTTAGATAAAATTTCTCCTTCAGTGAGCACACTTGATTCTAGAGCGTGCTGAAGTAAGCATGAAGGAACAGAACGTGTCGACGGGGCACTCCTTCCTGGCTGAAAATATTTTATAGTTAACAAAACTGAACTTGACCAAAGGATCCTCAGTACAGTACCGATTCCATTAGCATTTTCCTGGCAAAGATGCCCCTGGCATTTTTGCACACACATAGTTTGTTTTGGAGGGCAACGGAGGTGTAATTGCACTAGTCCGCTTTTTGTTTTTTAAGTCTATGAGAGCCAAACAGACGTGCACCCAGTGGTACAGGAGCTCAATGACAATATCACCAAAGCTCCACACTTCGGCTCGGGAATGGTCTGCAACAAGAAAAAAAAATTATTGCGAACAGTTTTGTACTTTTATTAAACTGATAAGAACAGATACTACACTTGATCTTAGCCAAAAGGCCGAGAAGCGATTGTACTTTTATTAACATATAGTTAAGATATTATTAAGATATGGTTACTTTTATTATTAAGGTATGGTTAAAGTTCATTAGATATGTTTTGAATCAAATCCATAGCAGAACCTTGTTGAAACACGTAATTATAGGAATATGGAATGATAAAATTTGATATATTCATAAAATGGAATACAACAGTTAAAGAATTAGAGCTATATATTAACATGGATAAATAAAAAAAGAGTATAAATGAAAAGTATGTTGTAGAATAATATATACTTTTTTAAGAATTATTTTATTTATTTGAAAGACAGAGTTACAGAGAGGTAGAGCCAGAGAGAGAGAGAGGTCTTCCATCCACTGGTTCACTCCCCAAATGACCGCAATGGCCAGAACTAAGCTGATCTGAAGCCAGGCGCCAGGAGCTTCTTCCAAATCTCCCACACGGGTACAGGGCCCCAAGGACTTGGGCCATCTTCTACTGCTTTCCCAGGCCACAGCAGAGAGCTGGATCAGAAGAAGAGCAGCAGGGACTTGAACTGGTGCCCAAGTGAAATGCCAGTGCTGCAGGCTGGGGCTTTAACCCACTGTGCCACAGCACCGGCCTCAGAATAATATATACTTTTGAGTATAATTTTAAAACAATTTAAAGCCTGGCAAAATGGTATTATATTTTTATGAATTCATAAGCACATTGTAAAAGGAAGAAATCAGGCATGAAAGTGATAAATACCAAATTCATAACGGTACTCTCCCTAGAGAAGAACAAAGAAAACGGGATCTGCGCAGGGCTAGAAAGCCTCGACTGCTCCTGTAATGTTTTATTTATTTATTTATTTTTATTTGAATGGCAGAGTTAAAGAGACAGGGAGAGAGAAAGAGAGAAGGGAGCTGGGGCAGTGGTTTTCCATCTGCTAGTTCACTCCCCAAATGGCCACAACTGCCTGGGCAGGGCCAGGCCAAAATCAGGAGCCTGAAGTCCATCCAGCTCTCCCATGTGGGTGGCAGGGCCTGAGGCTTGGGACACCTTCTGCTTTCCCAGGCGTATTAGCAAGGAGCTGGACAGGAAGTGGAGCAGCCAGGACTCACATGGCTGCTGCACCCCAACATGGCCCCAGGGCTTTACTTCTTAAAGATTTTGGCTCAAACATGGAACAATGTTGCAGCTGAATATAGAATATAGCTTTTTTTTTTTTTAAAGATTTATTTATTTACTTGAAAGTCAAAGTTACAGAGAGAGAGAGAGAGAGAGAGAGGTCTTCCATCTGCTGGTTCACTCTTCAATTGGCTGCAACAGCCAGAGCTGCACCCATATGAAGCCAGGAGCTTCTTCCAGATCTCCTATGTGGGTGCAAGGGCCCAAGGATTTCGGCCATCTTCTACTACTTTCCCAGGCCATAGCAGAGAGCAGGACTGGAAATGGAGGAGCTGGGATTCGAACCGGTGCCCATATGGGTTGCTGGCACTACAGGCAGCAGCTTTTCCTGCTACACCATAGCACTGGTCCCAGAATATAACTTCTTTTTTTTTTTTTTCTTTGACAGGCAGAGTGGACAGTGAGAGAGAGAGACAGAGAGAAAGGTCTTCCTTTGCCGTTGGTTCACCCTCCAGTGGCCACCGCGGCCAGCGTGCTGATCTGAAGGCAGGAGCCAGGTGCTTCTCCTGGTCTCCCATGGGGTGCAGGGCCCCAGCACTCGGGCCATCCTCCACTGCACTCCCGGGCCACAGCAGAGAGCTGGCCTGGAAGAGGGGCAACCAGGACAGAATCCGGCGCCCCGACCGGGACTAGAACCTGGTGTGCCGGTGCCGCAGGTGGAGGATTAGCCTAGTGAGCCGCAGCACCAGCCAGAATATAACTTCTTAATGACACACAAGTGTTACTGTTTATACACTTAAAATATTTCCTAATTAAAATTATTTTAAAATATATAGTCTGTGCACACCATCATACATTTAAGTTTGTTAAGGTGAACTATTAAACTGCCATTCATAACAAGACTTTTTTCCCAGGAACCAATGACTAATATTAAAAACCCTTCGCTTTCAGGTGCCTACAACCCCCGTGACCTGTGTTTCATTTTTGTTCTTCTCAGTGTCTAAGTCAGCACCTAAGCCTACAGGTGTTCGCTCATTTGAACTGAATCCATCAGGAAGTGTGATTGAATAAGAGTTCAGATATCAACTTGTCCATCCAATAGCGTTTCAACAGTAACAACTATCTCTTAGAATGACCAAGTGGAAATAGTTTCTCTGACTTCTGCCACCACACAGAACAGGGTTTGCTGAATCAGATTTAACTCTCCCGTGGTTTTGCAGGCACTGCTACAACAAAAGGTACAACAAGAGATAGGAAAGGCACACAAAAGAAAAATTCCTAAGTCTTGTTTTCGATTCGAAGCTGATTTTTCAATTAATTTTCCAATATCCCCTCTTTTAACACACAAACAACACTAAACAGAGGCACTGCCTTATTGAATTGTAAGTATTCACTAAATGTTGAATTAAACATTTAAATTAAGGAATAATTTAATTAAGTTTCAAATACTAAGTTTTTGCAGGTTCTAGTTCAGTAACATCAGCGATGATTATAAATAAACCCAAAACCAGATGCTGGTCACAAGAGCACACCAGGCACACCTGATTCCTCTCCTATCATGGGCATTCTTAAAATGTGATTGTAACCGATCCCTCTGTACTAATTAATTTCCTGGAAAATGTGTAAGTTAATGCTGCAGGTTTCCAAAGATTACGTTCATTATGTTAACGTTCCAGTATTATGACTGTAAATTAAATAAATTAATAAATTAAATAAAATAATAAATTAATAAATAAAAGTTCATCTTAGGACACTCCTAAAATCAGTCCTAATTTCCTGGGCTGAAACAGCTCTGCCGCTCTCCGCAGCTTTATCGCGCCCTACGCCTGCCACGATGCACCCAAATCAACAGACCCCTGTCCTCAGCCATTATTAAGCCATTATTAAGACAGTCGCCATCTCCACGGTGATTCAGGAACACACGGAGGGGGACAGACGTTGCTCCTTTTCACACGCCCCTGTTGCTTATTTCCTGTCTCATTGTTAGCGGGGACGGGAGCTCTGAAACTGCCTGGATCCCGCTTCCCCGGCCTTTCCAAAGACAGATGCGTTAGCAAGGGGCGCTAATGATTCCTCTAACCAAGCCCCTGCTCCGCTGGGTGCCCTGTTAGCGGTTGAGCGCTACTGCCCTCTGGTGGTGGGTACCGCCCAACCTTTGCCGTGTGGCCGAGGACTGCGCGTTCGCACAGCCTGTTAGCAGCTTTTCAAGCATTACTGTCATTTCTTTTGTAACCATAAGGAATTCTACTTTTAAATTTTGCCTTGGAAAAGGCTATAGTAAATTGTTCGAATGCCTATAAGCTGTAAATACTGCATGATCAACCTTTGAATCTGCTTATGGGTCTATTCAGAAACATTTCATTATGAGATTTTTGTAGGCTCTAGTTTAATCACACTTGTAATTACGTAGGGAATTCATCATGCTGGAAACATTAGGCTACAATAGGACGTTTCTGAATTAAAACTTCATTTGTGGACCGCTGCTTTCACACTGGAGTAATTAAGTTAAATCCCTTAGGATTTGTAGACAATTAATGAAGACAGGCAATGCAAAAAGAATGAAGTACTTACGCTTCAAGTCCAAACACTAAAATGTAACTGCTCCTTTTCGACTACCAGCTAACCCCAGGTCAGCAGCATTTCTCGAATGCTCCGCCTCTTCCTCGTTATCCTGTCTGTGGTTCTCTTTAGTTTCCTCACATCCTCACCACTGCTGCCACGCACAGTGAGCAGCAGGTCCATGCGACTTGCCTTTGCCATGGCACTCAGGCATTTAACACATCACTGGCAATTTAACGTGGTCCCCAAGGCGCTGTGGAGTTCTGTCTCCCAGGCTCATCAGCAGAGAATCAACGTTATGTGAGGAGATACCAACACACTTTTCTTGTGATGGAAGGCTGGGTGGAAGCTTGTTCCAGGACAAGTTCTTGGAGGTATGGAATCTCAGAATGATTTTATTTGTATTGCTTTTTTCACGATGTAGTGATAAACCAGATGTGTGAGTTGGAACCAGTGTAATTGATCTTTACAAAAATTCATAGCTTAAAGGGCTTCCAAATTCATTGGATTTTGTGTGGTTGTCATTAACAGATGCTGAACATGTGCCCCAGTGTACATGTATTTGTTTATAAATTAAAGTATTTTATAAAACAAAAATAGAGGTTAGACACTTATGAGATAACTCCATTATGATGAAAAGTCCTGTGATTTTTTTTTTTTTGCACTTCAAAGGATTTTTTAAAAAACCGTCCAAGGTGCTTGCTTTCTACTTGGGAGATCACCAAGTTAAAATATGAAATAAATGGAGTGGATAATCTTTTTCTGGATGATTAACATGCATTTACTTCTGTTTCCTCCTAAGATCCTATAAAAACTAATATAAATGAATCAAAGAGGAAGACATAACTCACAAGGACGGAAGATCAGGAAAAGAGAAACATCAACATTTCACTCATTCCTCCAAGTCCCATCAACTTCCTCTCCCATCTTCACTCTGGCTGACGACCTTGCTTCCAAAACCCGGCAGTGCGTCTACCCGCTTACTCTCCTCTGTGCCTGCACACTCTGTCCTCCCATTGTTTTAAGCCAATTCCTCCACTGGTGCACTATATCCAGGATAATCTTACAGTTCATTGTCCAAATCAGTGCACTTGCGAGGGAAGGAGACAACAAACAAAAAACTGGGGCTGTCTCAAGAGAAATAAGATGTATAGTCACTCTTTTTTTTTTTTCAAGATTCATTTTATTTATTTGAAAGACAGAGTTACAGAGAGGTAGAGACAGACATAGAGATCTTCCATCCACTGGCTCACTCCCCA